TAGAATTTTTTTTATTGATTTTATTTTTTTTAACATGGAGTTGGTTGAAAATCTAACTTCGTAGTTTTTTTAATAAAAAACAATGTGGATTGCTACAGTATTTCCTCACATGTTTTTTTATTTTTTTTATGATTTTTTCTTGAATTGTCTTTATCAATTTTTTTTTTTTTATATTAAGCTGATTGAGAATTTAGCTTTGTAGTTTTTTTAAAAACACCGTGAATTACTACAGTGTTCCCTATATGATTTTTTTTCAAAAATATCTTTATTGATTTTATTATTTTTAATATTAAGCTGGTTGAGAATTACAACTGTGAATTTTTTTATGAAATATTATAGATTGCTACAGCATTTTCCAACATGATTTTTTTTTTATTTTTTTGTATAATTTTTTCTAGATTTTTCTTAGTTCATTTTATTTTTTAAATATTAATCTGGTTAAAAATTTAACTTTTTATTTTTTTCTTTGAAAATATTGCACATTGTAACAGATTTTTTCTATATATTTATCTTTGTTTTTCTCATACATCCATAACAAATACACAAACATGCCACAAGCTTGCGGCATCATGCGAACATGGCATTTATTATCATTTATGCATCATCTTCTACAATACTTTTGAGATAGCAATCGGTTAATATTATGTGACAAAAAATATTAAAAAAATGAAAATAAAAACATGTTTAATTCAAAAATAGAGATAAAAACATAAAAATAAATATATTTTTGTAATCATTTTGGAGTGAGTTTTGTGCTCTCAAAACTGGAGGGATGGAAGGGATGTCTCTAGATATAATACTTTTTACTCTTAAAATATTATTGTAAAAAAAATTTAATTTCAAAATTATTTAATATATATATAATTATTATCATAGTATTAAAATCTAATTCGAAAGTCGATCGGTGGCAAAATCTAAGTTATTGGTCAATATTCAAGTCAACATAAAAGTAAGAGTGATTGTTATTATAGTTTAAAACCCCAACTTAAAAGTTGACCTAGATCAAGGCCATGTCACGATCGAGATTGATCGTTGACTTGGTTTTATAAAAAAATAAAAGTAATTATTATTATAATTTTAAAATATAATTTGGGTTAAATCTAGATAAGATCCAGGTCATGTGAAAAATAACTATTATCATGCTTTTAAAATTTGATTTGGGGGCTAATCCAATACAAGACTTAAGTCCCGTATTAGAAATGGCAACCCGTGTAAATGTAATAAAAATAATTGCTATTATATATATATATATGAAAATAATATATCTTTATTTTTTAAAAAATATTTTTAATATCAATACAATAAAATAATTTAAAAATATTATTAAAAAAATTATTTTGTTTTTTTAATTTTTCAAACACCATTTGCAACACAGTAACAAATAAACCCTTACTAGTTCCCTGAAATAGATGAAATCCGAGTGGTCTCCCGGGGGTGTTTGTATTTAATATACGAGGACTCTTTTCTCAAGGGGGGTAAACTTGAAGGCATTACTGTCATCTTGCCTTAAAAGTAATGGTAGATATGACGTCTGAGAGTTTGGTTTGAGTTATTTTTAAAAATATTATTAATTTTAAAAAATATAATTTTTTTATTTTATAAATTATTTTTAATATATCACATCAAAATAATTTTAAAACATAAAAAATCAACATAATTTTTTTTTTTTTTTAAATACAAAAATAAAGAAGAGGGATTGGAGTTTGGAAGGTGGAAGGCAATAAATATCAAACAGCTGTGAGGAAATGGAGGACGAGGATGCCAGAGAAGGCCCCAAACATTTCTGAAAAATCTCGCCAAAACAAGACCCGCCTCCCTCCCTTGACATAAAAAATGAGACCCGCCTACAGCATGCCTCCACTCCTTGGGTATGGTTTTAAAATTCAAAGCCAACCCCCCAAACCGCAAAACGTAAAATCTCCAAAACCTCAAAAATAAAAACACGCAAAAACGTAACAAGCGCCAAGTCCCCTCTTTTCAAAAACAAAAAACATGGCGCTTCCTCTTACGTTCCCTCTCTCCACCATTACAAAACCTCTCCCTCCTCACAATCACAAGCCCTCGCTCTCTATCTATCTCTCTCTCGCTCACTCCTAATCTAAAAGGAGACTCTTGACTCAGTGAGCGAAGAAGTGTAAAATGAGTTCAATGCCAGAGCAAGAGAACTGCACCCGCGTTACTCGCGCTGCCAAAAAGAGGGCGGCTGCGCTGGCTTCCACGGAGGACCAACCCTTGAATAAGAAGAGGGTTGTGCTGGGAGAGCTGCCCAACTTATCAAACGCCATTGTTTCATCGAATGAGCCCCAGAAGCAGAAAGCAAAAGCAAAGCCAAAGGCAAGGAAGGGGGCTTCAACGAAGAAGGAGGGTGTTCTCAAAGAGGATGTTGACGGGAAACCTGAAGATCCCCAAATGTGTGCACCATATGCTTCTGATATTTATGAGTATCTTCATAAAATGGAGGTAAGGATTGGTTTTATGTGGTCTGAGTAGTGGAAATGTAATTAGGGTTTGTGTTAATTGGGGTTTATTTTTCAGGTGGATCCAAAAAGAAGGCCACTGCCTGATTACATTGAGAAGGTTCAAAAAGATGTGAGTCCTAATATGAGAGGGATTTTGGTGGATTGGTTGGTGGAGGTCGCAGAGGAATACAAGCTTGTCTCTGACACCTTGTATCTTACTGTTTCTTACGTTGACAGATTCTTGTCTTTCAACGTTCTCAGCAGGCAGAGGCTTCAGCTTCTTGGTGTTTCTTCTATGCTCATTGCCTCGTAAGACACGGGATCCCTTGACTTCTGTCCATATTTTTAAGTCTGGTTTGAGTTCTGTTTAATTAATTTATGTATTTTTTTTGTTTCATTTTGTTCTGGCAAGTAGAAAGTATGAAGAAATCAACCCTCCACATGTGGAAGATTTTTGCTACATTACAGATAATACATACACCAAGGAAGAGGTAACTGAATATGCTTATTTTGTTTGTTTGTTTTATGGGTTTAGATCTTCAGTGTTCATGCTCTGGTTTTCTGTTTATCATTTTAATTAATGGCGGTTTATGTGATTGTAAAGGTGGTTAAAATGGAAGCTCATATACTTAAATCTTTGAAATTTGAAATGGGGAATCCTACGATAAAGACATTTCTAAGGTAAGATTTAAAAATGTTTTGATGTAGCTCTTTTTGTCTACCTGCAATTGGTGATTTACATACCATGGAAGGTTCATTGTTTGGAGGGCTGATTTTTGGTATTGTTTGTCATGCTGGTCTTGCAGGAGATTCACTAGGGTTGCTCTAGAGGATTACAAAGTAAGTGTGACCTCATTCTTCTTTATTGAAGGTTAATAGTTTGTATGCTCAGTAATGTGAGGTATTTCTTATTGTTGTTGACTGGTGTAATCTTTGTGCCTTCTGCAGACTTCAAATTTGCAGCTTGAGTTCCTCGGATTCTACCTTGCTGAGTTGAGCTTGTTGGATTACAATTGTGTGAAATTTTTACCTTCTTTGGTGGCTGCTTCTGTTATATTTCTTACGAGATTTCTGATGCGACCCAAGACAAATCCTTGGGTAAGTAATTCCAGGGCTATTAATTTGTATTGGCAGTCATTTTTGGATTGCAGTTTCTAATTTTTGTTCATACAGAGTTCAACCTTGCAACAATACACTGGATACAAGGCAGCTGATCTAAGGGAATGTGTTCTCATCATACATGACTTGTATTTGAGTAGAAGAGGAGGTGGATTGCAAGCTGTAAGAGAAAAATACAAGCAGCATAAGGTATGATTAATTTCTGTCAGAACTACTGAGGATTTTGAGTTGAATTCTCGCACTGTAAAAAGGCATTTTGTTTACATTGAATTTTTCTTCTGGGACAGTTCAAGTGTGTGGCAAACATGCCTTCCCCCCCAGAGTTACCAGCTTTATATTTCGAAGAGGTTTAAATGCAACAGTTGGCCTGTTCATTATATGTTTCTGGTTATGACAAGTGATGGAAATTGCTACCCGCTCAGGAAGCCCTAGAAGTGTGGATTCGTAACACAAACCATGCCATTTTGGATTTGCTATGAAATCTTGATTGATATTGGGATACTACTGGAAGTGAATTGTTGGCCATGTGGAATGAACTGTGGTTCTGATGCTTGGGGACTTTTACCTGGAGTATGAATGGCATTTTTAACACCAGCAGTTGGGTAACTGTGCTATTGCTAACTCTTCTCACTGGTAGAATATTTGAATCTCCTACGGAGGTCTTGTAAATGTTAAAATTTTTGTTTTTGGTTCTGATATTAGATGCTAAATGGCCATTATGAGAACGTGAATTTTCTCTTATGCTGGAGTATCAGAACGGTTTATATCCCATATGCTTCAAAATTGGTAAATATGAAGCCTCACCTTTGTCTCATGAAAGTCAGATTTATACTAAAATTGTTTTTAAGAGAACAAAACATTAATGGTGCAAAAATGAATGCGCAACGCCCTAATGGCATACTCTGATTACTGCTGAGCAGAGAAGTACTTAACCATTATTACCAAAGCCTAAATCTCAGACTCAATGGTTTTTTCGATATAAACCAGGTGGAGGTGGCTGTTGCGATTCATTTTTGTTATTCCAGCAAAACATCTACTTAAAGGATTTAGACTTTTCATACTCGCACTGTGGCTGCCAGTTACTGGTGATTTAATAAAATTTTGTTAAATAGGAAAGTCTTTTAACATAAGGATTTTCATTGAATTGTGGAAAATAATTTGTAGTGTTAAAGCCGTAGGGATAGGTCAAAGTTAAGCAGCTCTGATGGTTGTATGTGTTCTTATACCATGTGAAAACTACCTGGCCATTCTCCTCTCGTTGCTTCCACGGGCACAATTGCTTTCTGGGTCACCCCAAATCCCTTGCCATCGTTGTTGAATCTTGCTATCCAAGGACCCCATTCCCTACTTGTTTCGTGGACAAGTGAACGGGGCTGACCGCCAAGTGACTGGAATATTGTTTTACCAGCAAGCACACCGATCATTGCCATATGCCTCTCCCACTGGTACCTTCGATTGCTCCTCTCTCCCTCTTGTGGGCACTCTGGTGCCCACCAAGTGCTTGTGAGCTATAGAACTTTCTCCTGCAGAAGTTGCACGAGAAAACTTTGCTGGCAGTGAATTTTGATTGTGAACCTTGCTCAATATCCATCATGCAGCTGTTCCTGCCAAGACCCAAGTTCAACCGTTCATTGGAATTAACTTCTTCACTATCTCTGGCGTAACCATGGCTAAATGTTTTATCATTCTGGTTGACTGATGGTCCTGTAACTCCTGTTAGTTCAGTGTTCTGAAAAATATCTTAACCGTCTATTGATTTGAAAGGAGGTTAACAAGGAAGTAGCAATGGATATGTGAAGATTTTAATTTTCATGCCCTGCCTTTCTAATGTTTGTTTTCCCTAATACTGCCCGTGCCCCCACGGCTTGTTCTTGGTGGTATCGCAGGGGCATAGTCAGTTATGTCAATATTACCCATGTTAAAGCCGAGCATTCACATGTTGTTTCCTGTCTATATTCCTCCTTTTGCGTTGAACCGGTCTGATTTGAAGCAACTTTATGATTCGAATTTGGCAACCACGCTTAAATTCCAACACTGTCATATCATGATCAAAGTTATAACGGTTGCCCGCCATGATTTTTGGTTACTTTCCCCAATGTTTGCTGAATGGTCCCGGAGTTTGATTCTGTCCTGGTAGCGTTTTTGACACTTTAATGCACATAATTAATTGGCAGTCCTCAGTTTGCCAACCATCAATCTTTAACTGCTTAGTAATTTATGATCTTGGATTAATATGTTAGTAGAATTTTCAAGTTCTTATTGAAATCACTTGAATCATTGCAAGAGACGCATTGATTAATCAGAGTGGTCGAAGAAGGGAACAGCTAGATGATGCGCAAAGAGACCAATAGTAGCCAAGCTCTAGGAGCACAGAGTTCTGCAGTCTGCACAACTACTTCTGTAGAACTTAAGATCATGCTACTTGTACTTTTTCATCCCTGGAACTTCAATAGAAATTTATTTTTTGCCAGACATGTCAAAGTTGTAGGAAAATTACCATGTATGCAAAACTAACGGATGATTTGTTGATTCTAACCAGGTTTTATTTGCTAATTGCAATGATGAGAGGCGTACAGGGGTATATTTTCTTTGAACTTGAGGAACATTTCGCCTTCCTTCGTCCTAGTGGGCTCGTAAATTTGTCTTGTACAGGGCAAAGTGCATGGAGAACGAACATAGAATCAATAATGTTCCTGAGGAAACAGGAAGAGCCCAATTCTACACTCGCTTTAATATGCCGGTAAGGTGCTGACAATTGAAGCTCCCATTCACAACATGACCTGGGTGGTGGGTGGATTGAGGACTCAGGAGGTTGGAGCAGAGAGTTGTCTAATCGAAACGGTGCCTTATCCACAAACGAAGCAATAACTTTGTTCTGGGTTCAGTGACTATGGCGGAAATTGGGCAGATTCTTTTATATGGAATGCACAAAAACACCATGACTACTATTATATGGTTCTCTATTTTCCCACCCCTTTGCCCCAAACACGTCGTGGCATACCATGAAATCGGCACCTTCTTTGGAAAATCATCATTTGCCTTGGGTGCCAGTGCCACAGCAGCTGCCAAGATTTTGACTGCCGCTATGATTTGCACCAGCAAGTTGAGACATTGCCGAACTGGCATCGCCTTCCTAACTATGCATATTTTCCTCAATACTGCGGGAGATAGCCTAGTGCCATGTGTTTCGGAGAGCAATAGATGTGTAGATTGGCTAGCTAAACACGCCCACCTCCTCTAGTGGGGTGCCTGGAGATTTTATTAGAAAACATGGGCTGGAGTTTCTTTTCCTAAAAATTGTGTTGCGTAATCAGGGGTTGTTTTTGTCTTCCTTCGCATCTGGAAAAGGAAAAGGGATCCAAAACACCAACTGCTACAATGAAAAGTGTTTTGACTATTTTTGTTTGTAGACACGTTTTTTTTTTTTTAAAAATATTAGTCAAATAATACAGCTAGGAATTTTTTTACTACAATAGTATAATTTATATATGTTATTATTTATAAACATGAAATTTAATCTTATTATTCTTCGGAATCGTGACATTAAAAAGGTTGTAAATGAACAGAGAAAAAAATTTAAAATTTTTTGTTAAGAAACACCAAAACTCTCATTACATCACTAATATTAGAAAAGATTTGATGAAATAAATTCAATAACACCACTAGTATGTGTGTGTATATATATATATATAACTGAAATATTTTTATATACATTTATATTTAGATTTGGTTTAAATTAGTTAAAACTAATCAGTTTTGATATTATCTGGTTCAATTTATTTTTACTCTAAACCAGTAAAACCAAAATTTTATGCCCTAATATTCCAGACTAGAGTGAACAAGGAAGATTTTGTAATTCACTGGAGCCAAATGGGATTCTTCGTTGCAATGTAAACAATTCTAACAATAAACACACCAAATCATAAAATCCACAACCCATAATATAATTGCTAGAGAATTATTTGAGAAAAGAAAGGAAGAGCTGAGATTTGTTGGTTCGACAAGTTCTACTTGCACATCACACCTAGCTACGTATATACTGCATGCGTATCAACTACTGTCTAATATTAGGAATTATTTTTCTAGTTTGTGAATTTTTTTTTTTTACTTTGCAATGCAAGTCCAGGAAAAAAACTCGTAGTCCTGTCTTCGCCTTCTTCCGGTCTCTTCACCCTTTTAATGATCGCCTATATATTCTCTAGAACATGGCTACAGAGGCTAAGACCAGGGTTTTGTCTCCGCATAGACTAGAGTAGAAGGCCCCCTCCGCATTTGGTCAATAGTTCCAGACCAATAAAGAGACATGTATATGAGCCCAAAAGTAAAATGGTCCAGCACTGAGAGCTTTAATCAATTCCAGTTGGACCAAAATTCCAGCTTGAAGGGGAGAAGCTATATTTTTCGGTAGTTCTAACCACTTGTAATCCACCACTTGTCGGTAATCATAGCGGCATCCAGTTCTAACCTTAAAATCTAGGAACTTGACTTGAATTCTCGGCAAACTGTATGATGTTTCCAACCCTTTCTTCTTCTTCTTATTACTCCTCAGATTCTTCACTCTGTATTTTCATGCATCAACCAGTTCATTTATAAGGCTATGAACAGCTAGGTTATTGGTTCCAAGTTCAATGGCTTCTCATTGTCAAAGTACTCGTCATGGCAAGCCACCAGTCACGGAGTGACACTAGGGAATCATTGGTCTTATATTACCCAATAGTTTTCTTGCTTTTCTTGTACTCAATCATATTTGATTCCATATATTAAATGGTTATTAAGAAAGAACCGTTGGTGGGTTAAGTTGCGCTTGATTTGACCACTCAGAAACTTGTAATATAAGTAAAGATTATTGTAGGAAATAAGGTCCTTTATATCCTTAAAAAGCTTCGCACATTCTTACCTTTCATTGCTATATAAACTTTGCATGAAGAAGAAAAAAGTGTCTGATTCCACTCCTTTCAAGGTGCCAGCTGATTCTTCTGGCTCTATATGAAGTTGCTATAAATCGGAACCATAGTGACCTTATTTTAGGGACTGAAGGCGAGAACAAAAGCAAAACAGATGGTAAAAAGATATCGTGAAATACAAAGGATATAGGCAAATAGCAAAAAGTTGCTTCGTGAGTTGCGTCCTTTGCTTGCAGGGTGTAGTAAACTCAATAACACACTACATAATCACTTCTTTCCTCCTCCTCGGGTTGCCAAACAAAGCCATTTAACTTTATATCCCACTGCCTTTCTCTATCTAGCTGGTCCCATATCTCGCATTTCTCTCCCTCATTTGAAGCAGCAAACTCTCTTTTTTCACTCTCAGCTAAGATGCCCAAATCATTTATAGGTAGAAAAATGCACTATCAACAGTCCCCTCGAGTCTTTGTGTTGCAGAAGCCAATGGTTATACTTCTTCTTGTATTGTTCGTCTCAGGAGATAGGAAAGAAGAGACAACGGTGAATGTTCATGGCTTGCAAAACCAGCAGCCGCCAAGGAGCACGGAGAAAGAGCAACGTTTAAGGCACTCATTTGATATGTTCTTTTCAAGCAAAAGAAAAGTTCCAAATGCTTCAGACCCTCTTCACAACCGCTGAGCCACGTCTTGCTGTTAGTTTCTCAAGGAGTTACTCTTTGGCCTGTTGGGAAATTGAAGATTAATTTTGTTGCTAGTTCTTGAGAGATTAGAGCTACAAGACGTGAAAGGAAACTTTGAGGGTCATCTACTAGATGCTTCAATCACAATTCTACTAATTAGGCTGCATCTTGTCAATGATGGTGATGTTCGCGGATCATTTGATGCAATTTTCTGCTCGAAAAATGTGTGTTTTCAACTTTAGCTGGTCCTCTTGGACTTATGATCCGTATATTTTGTCTCTTGATACCAAGTGTCTGTAAAATATATATGAACCAGTGATCAAGTAACTTGTTCTCCCATGAGTAACTTTTTTGTGAATGTTCTGTTTGTGGGGCCGGTAACTTTTATCCACTCCATCTTTGTCTTTTCTATGCGCGAGGAGTTCCTTTCACAGTTTCTCCTTTTCCCCTCCTTCTCTGGCTTTATTGTCGCGTTTCACTTTTCCCAAGCTTATTGTCTTTTCCCAAGCATAATTCTAAGAGGATTTGATATCGTGATAAAATCAATGGATTCGGTAGTCGTACTCAAAATCTCTGGCTATATGTTTCTTTCAAGCAGGACGCATGCCATGCCATCGATGTCTCAAGGAAAACGACTTCAGTTTTATATGAACGCAAAAGTCAAGGACAACAAGCATTTTGCCCAGACAGAAGCCCATAACGGTAGCCCAAGATTCCCCGAGCCCATTCAAAGAGATAGCTGCGTGCATCTTTAATTTTTCTTTTATTTTGTTACATCTTTAGTAATGCGTGCATCTTTAATTTTTCTTTTATTTTGTTACATCTTTAGTAATATGGACTACTAAGATTGTTTTTAATAAATTAAAATATTTTAAATCATAATAATTGATTTAAATACAGTTAAGGACATAAACTCTTTTCATTGATGGTAAGTTATCCACATAAAAACTAAAGATTATTTCAACTAAAATATTTATTATTTTAATCAAGCAAACGAATACCATGTGATTCCCACAAAAATAAAATAAAAAATGCATTATATATATACTTGATTGGCATGGTTGAAAAGGTTGATGTACTAAAATAAAAAAAAGAAAGAGTAAAGTTCTAAGTACTCGATGGAAGAGTTGGTGGACAAGGACTCTAGTTTTTTTGATAAATGTTAAAAAGGGGCAGTTAAGGAGTTTGGTCAAGAAATTCTTGATTTTAAAATTTTAAGAGATCAGTGTGCTTACATGAAAAAATCGAAATTTACTCGATTGAGTAAAGTTGGTATGCTAATTAATAGTGCAACTATCCCTAACCTGTCTATAATTTGCTTACTCATTTCTACT